AGTAAAATACTTCATTGCCACGTAGAATGTTTAGGTTCGAGTCTTGATAGGACCCTACATATCTTTTTTGCATTGAGAGGATCAACACTGTCAATGTGACTTGTTTTTTAACGCCCAATTTAAAACATTAGCCATGTGTGTTTGGCCGTTTCTGGGTAGATAATAAATGTCAATCCTCTTTAACACATACCTTCACACCAGTGACACATGGCCACTGTCTGGCGGAAAGGGCTTTAAAACGCACATGACGGGATTGTGACATTATTTATGTCATGCCCAGCTAGTGATTTGAAGCTATGTAGTGATTCTAATTTTCATTGATCCAGATTTGCGGGAACATAGATAGATAGAGAGATAGATAGATAGATAGATACATAGATAGATAGATAGATAGATAGATAGATAGATAGATAGATAGATAGACAGACAGACAGACAGACAGACAGACAGACAGACAGACAGACAGACAGACAGACAGACAGACAGACAGACAGACAGACAGACAGACAGATAGATAGATAGATAGATAGATAGATAGATAGATAGATAGATAGATAGATAGATAGATAGATAGATAGATAGATAGATAGATAGATAGATTAGATAGATAGGCAGATAGACAGACAGACGGACAGACAAACAAATTGATAGATAAATAGATAGATAGATAGATAGATAGATAGATAGATAGATTTTTTTTTCTACAATGGGGTTTACTACTGATACAGAGGGAGGTCCTAAAGTAAAGAGACTGTACAGGGGACCTCCCATAAGAGCTGAGTAAACAAAAGTACTTTAACGCAACAAAGATGTGTACACAAAGTAAACACTCAAAAAGAAGCAATTAACACTGAAACATCGTTGGATTATTTAAAAATTACAAAAGAAAGCAGAGATGATGAAATGATGAAATGACTATGCTAAATGCAGATAATTCCGAAGGTTGATTTTGAATGCGTGGAAATTGGAGATATTTTTAACATGGCATGGTAATGAGTTCCATAGTTGTGTGGCTGAAAAGTTAGTAGTGAACTTACCATAATTAGTTCTGGGTTTCGGTAATAAGAAGCTATTGCTGGATGCGAAACGTGTTGACAAAGAGTAAGGATACTGGCTTTTGATGATTATAGGGAACGGGAGCTTTCCGCTGATGGATTTGTGGATTAGTATTGCGAGGGAATATTTATGTAGTTTTCCCACCGACAGAATACCGTTAGAGGTGAGCAAAGGCAATGCTTCTGATGTGTAGGTGCTATGTGTCATGATGCGAATAGCCTGATTTTGAGTGTGTTGCAATGGAGATAAATGGACTGGATACGTGTTTCCCCATGATGATATGCAATAATTAATATACGTATGAATGAAAGCGTAATAAAGGGATATTAGTGTGTTCATATGGAAAAAATTGCGAACTTTAATTTATATCCTAATGCCATAAGCTGTCTTCTTTGTTAACGATGAAACATGCTCATCAAATTTTAGGTGCTTATCTAATGTGACTCCGAGAAACATGACACTGTCAGTAGGATAAAGTGTGTTTGAAGCGAAAGTTAAAGATGGTGAACCTGAATAAATCCTATGCTTAGAAGAAAAGATGACGAACTGAGATTTTGTAGCATTTATCTGTAGTTTATTTTGCCGGCACCAGGTAACTATGCTGTCCGCGTCGTGGTTAAGCTTGTAGATTAATGAATCAAGGTGGTTATCTGAGCAGAAAATAGTAGTGTCGTCAGCGTAAAGAATACAGTCAGATGATTTTAGGCATTGTGAAAGATCATTGATGTATATTAAAAATAAGAGAGGTCCTAATATTGATCCCTGCGGTACCCCAATGTTACTTGTTTTAGGGTGTGAGTAAGTGTTAGATATAGACACAATATATTCTCTATCTTTTAAGTAGTTACGTAGTAATTTCAGTGGCGGGCCTGCTATTCCAATAGACTCTAATTTAGCAAATAGTATATTGTGAACAAGTGAATCGAATGCTTTAGATAAATCAATAAAGAGCGCCCCAGTCAAATTACCTGCATCAATTGCCTGCCGGATTTTATCTGTCAAGTAAATTAATGCTAAATCAGTTGAGTATCCCTCCCTAAATCCAAATTGATTTGTTGATAAGACATGAAATTTTGAAAAATAGGAATACAAGCGTGTTACTATTAGTTTTTCAACAACTTTGCTAAAGAATGAGAGTATAGCTATAGGTCGATAATTAGATGTGAGACGCTTATCTCCCTTCTTGAAAACAGGAATTATTTTGGCTTTCTTCAAGGAACTTGGAAAAATTCCCGTGGTAAAAATAAGGTTTACTATGTGACAAAATGTTTCAGATATTAAACTTGCTATGAGTTTTATGAGAGAGGGGCGGAAATTATCAATACCGGGCCCGGTATTTTTTAGACTAGAAATGATAGTGACTATTTCTTCAGGTGTCAAGGGGTGAAGGAAAAAGCTGTGAGGCATGCGTGGGTAAGGCTGGGTCAGAGGATCGTCTTCCCGTTGCTTGTCTGTACAGAAGAAGTTAATAAAAGAGTTAGCAATGTCTAAGGGATTATCGAGAAGTAGGTCTCCCGATTTTATCATTGTTATTTCGCTATGCTGGTTGGATCTACCCAAAAACGAGTTTAAAATTTCCCACTGTTTTTTTACATCATTACCGGCACACTTAATTTTATTTTCATAGTACTGTGTTTTGGCATGTTTGAGTAGTTTTCCTAAACGATTAGAATATTTTTTATACCTATCATGAAGCGCAGTATTGAACGGTTGTTTTTTTGTTTTTCTATAAAGGTTATCTTTTTTCTTCAGGCAATCAAGCAAACTGCTAGATAGCCATGGGTTACGAGGAGCTGAGAACGGTTTTTTACAGTTCATTATTTCGGTAGAATCTGCAAGGGCATTGGAAATTATCTTTGAAAATGTATCGTAGGCAGTTTCAGGGTTATCGCACGCGATGACTGGGTTCCAGTCTGTAGCAGATATTAACTCAAAGAACTTTGTTGAATTGAGCTTCTTTCTGGTTAGGCCTGTGACAATAGCGCAAGGAGTGTAATTTAAACGCACAAATATTGGATAGTGATCGGTAACAGAGGCTTCGACAACGCCGCAGTCAGGGTTAGTAAGGAGATTTAATAAAACGTGGTCAATAAGTGTACCTTGTTTATTTGCGGGACATCGAGTTGGAAGCGTAACTAGGTTTTCATACCCAAAGCCATTTAGGCAGTTAACGTATTCATTGAACAGTGTGTTGGATGGATCTAGGAGGTTAATATTGATATCGCCCATGATAATGACATTTTTCTGCTCCAATGATAATTTGTGCAACAAATTACCAAGGGCCGAGCAATAAGCACTTCCACATGATGACGGTGAACGATAGATGCAACCAACTATAAGGTTTTTTTTGTCCTGTGAAAAAAATGAATCGTGAAATTCAACCCAAACAGATTCGCAGTTAGCCACTTTGAGTGTCAAGTCAAGTCGTCTATGAAAACGCAGTTCCGAGGACACGAAAACAGCCGCACCACCATGATTACTATTATCGCGGTGACAGTATTCAGCAGAGTATGAGGGGAAGGTATACAAGTGATTATGAGATGCGGAAAGCCACGTTTCGCTAATACAAATCACAGAGAACCTGTGACTAGTTGATGATAAGAAAGTTGTGATACCATCCATGTTTTTTTGCAGACTGCGTGCATTAAAATGAATTAGTGAACGGCAGGGCAAGGAAAAATAGGTCTGAAGTTCGTGAGGTCGAATGTACGAAGCCATTTCACGTAACTGAAAGATTGACTACTAGACTGATTGCAAAATGTTAGGCAATATTGCATAAATCAGAATCGGAAGCAATGCGAATTACCTGACTGTCGGGAGACTTCCGCACCTTAATCTGGCAATTTTCCGTCCAGATGAACTGCCATCCTTTTTCTTTCTTTAAGGCAAGTGCCCTAGAGAACAAGCGCTTATTGTCTGGTGATAGGTGCTCATTCACAAATATTGCCTGTGCGTTCTCTCCTGAATACCCTATACTTCGAGTGTTCAGCCGCGCCCTTCTGGCTTTCTTCATGAACTCGTTTTTTTTTTTCACGAGAGCAAAACCGCACAATTATATTCCTTTGACCGGACTTTGCAGGTATACGATGTACCGTGTCGACATCGCTAGCCGAGACCTTACAGTTGATTTTGTCGCCAATGGCAGTCAGGATTGCGGAACAACCCTCTCCTTGGGTAGAGGGCACCCCTTTTATTTCCAAGTTATTTAATCTTGAGTACTGCTCGAGGTTGGCGACTTTACTTTGAAGGGCCTCATTATCTAGATAGATAGATAGATAGATAGATAGAATGATAGACAGATAGACATACACACAGACAGACAGACAGACAAATAGATGGATAGATAGACAAATAGATAGATAGATAGATAGATAGATAGATAGGTAGACAGACAGATAAATAGATAGATAAATAGATAGATAGATAGATAGATAGATAGATAGATAGATAGATAGATAGATAGATAGATAGATAGATAGATAATAGATGGACAGACAAATAGCTACATAGATAGATAGATACATACAGGCATAGATAGATAGATAGATAGATAGATAGATAGATAGATAGATAGATAGATAGATAGATAGATAGATAGATAGATAGATAGATAGATAGATAGATAGATGTCCCAACTGCCTGCAGTACGCAAAGAACTGTTCCGCATTTAAAAACCTTTCACCCTGACTGTATCTCCATCAAAGCTAGGTGTGGCCTTGGAATTAAGCTGCAACAGGCGGACGACGCTTTCCAGGCCGACACGACAACGAAGTTGGGTAATGTAAAATAGTCGAGGATAGCAGCAATCGTCTTTGTCCTATTGAAAAGCAGCTTTATTTGTGTGTCCTGACAATCTTCCATACTGTTTTTACATTGTAACACTATATTATATTGTTAGAATTGCTAAACTGCTTAATTGCTTAGCATTTCACAGCTATACTTACCTTGAAGGGAAGCCAAATACAGGAGACACTTGTTTTGTTTACAAATGTCCAGAACCTATAAAGATACATATGTTAGTTATTTATTTACACCATATACAGGCATGCTTTTTTCTAAATGTATAATTTTTATAGTAACGCTATAACAGCCCCACACCTGCCTTCTTCGCAGACGGGAGAACTTCTTTAGACCTAAAATTACATTTAAATGAGTAATTAACAAAAACTCTTCCTTTAATTTTGAGGTGCTAACTTAAATGTCGCGATTTGTATGCAATAGTTTTACTGTTTGAATATTTACGACATGCTCGTTTAACAACCAAGAGTTTTATGCCCTGGCTCAGAAAAAGCTCAATGATGTATTTCCATCAAATTTTACGTATTTTCAATCGAATTGTACGCAATTTGATGTCAAAGCAAAAAGTTCTGTGCACGGGCATCAAACCACTGACCTCTCAGTCCGCAGCACACCAAGCGTCAACGTCGATGCATGCACGTTTTACATTGTGCAAACTCTCGTATATTATTGCACAGCAAAGATTCAACTACTTCTGTAAGGACAAGTTTTACTTTCGTGTTATACCTATTCTAATGACGGAGGGATCAACCATATTCTTTTTCAAAAAGCTGCGAAAATGCTCGCAATCGGAGATAATAACTATTGATTTTCAAGGCGGCTTTCTAGGCAAAACTAAAACTGAGTGCTCCAAGAGCGTAGAAATTTCGTCGAACCTGCTACATCTTTCCGGAAGCTCTCGTGACAAACTTTGATAAAAGAAGCATTACAGTCGAATGGGGTAGCGGGAACCCCTTTCCTACCACACTGAATATCCGAATATGGCAGGAGCTTCTTTTGGACAATTACTTTATTGGTAAGCAAGAATGTATTACACAAGCCACAATGTTTCGAGCTAATTTTTAAACATAGTTTTTAGAACGGCAACATTGATTGTTGGCAGGTCAGTTCGTTCATATTGAGCGTGAAACAGTGCACCGAGACGGGACAGCAAGGCACAAAAATTACATATACACAGCACTGTGTGCATGCGCTTCTTATAGATTTCTGTGCCGTCTCAGTGGGCTGTTTCCTTCCCTCAGCGATATGTACGTTTGTTCCCAGTGACTAATTTGCAGTTAGTAAAGAAACAAACTTCAGAAATCCTTACATAATCGAGTGCCTGAACACCAGCGGAATCAATGTAGCTTATGGCAGAGCAATCCATGACCACCACCTTTGTGGCAACAGCTTCACTGCAAGCTTCCCTGAAACACCACAATGTCAAGAAACATTGCTTGTTCGACTGAAAAAGTATCGCATTTTTAATGAATAAGTGTGTTTGTTCCGGCAGCTTGAAGAAAGCTGGTTACGACACATATGGTTAGGACTACATAAAATACTGAATGATATAAATAAGTGAAGCGACAGAAAAAAGAGTGAAGCATGTGATTAAAAGAATCACAGCATGAGTGGGGCGAAGCGTCTGTCTGTTCGTCCATCCGTCCATCCACCTGCCCGCCTGCTCGCCTGCCTGCCGGCCTGTCTGCCTGCCTGTCTGTCTGCCTGCTGCCTGCCTGTCTGTCTGTCTGTCTGTCTGTCTGTCTGTCTGTCTGTCTGTCTGTCTGTCTGTCTGTCTGTCTGTCTGTCTGTCTGTCTGTCTGTCTGTCTGTCTGTCCGTCCGTCCGTCCGTCCATCCGTCTGTCCGTCTGTCTGTCTGTCTGTCTGTCTGTCTGTCTGTCTGTCTGTCTGTCTATCTGTCCGTCTCTCTGTCCGTCTATCTGTCTGTCTCTCTGTCTGTCTGTCTGTCTGTCTGTCTGTCTGTCTGTCTGTCTGCCTGTCTGTATGTCTGTCTCTCTGTCCATCTGTCCGTCCGTCTGTCTGTCTGTCTGTCTGTCTGTCTGTCTGTATGTCTGTCTCTCTGTCCGTCTGTCTGTCTGTCTGTCTGTCTGTCTGTTTGTCTGTGGATATGCTGCGCTGACTTCTCTGGAGGGATTGACTGCCCTTCATCATAAGGAGCTTCATACATTAAATGTCCGTAAACCGGGGCTGTGTGGCTGAACCGAAGTTTCGAGAAGTGGACATGTCTCCACTTCTCAGAACGTCGGCTCGAGCACAACTCCTCTTCACGAATTCTTTCATCGCTAGTATACTAACAAAAGTATAAACGCCACCGCAGCATGTTTTCTATAGTGCAACGCACCCATTACTCGTGTACACGCAGGATTCAAGGATTCGGTCCGCATCAGTGGCAAGATATATCTATTCCTGTTTAACTTTCAATATATTAATAATAATATTAATAATAATAATTTATTCCAGCATTATCGGGAAAGAATACAAAACTAGTAAGGCTATCGAGGGCTAGCAAAAAGCTTCTTAATGCTTATCAAAGGCCAGTGCCCCATTTACAAAACTAAACAAGGCGAAAACAACAGTGGACAGACAACACGAATGAAGTTCTAGTGAGGAAAGGCCCATAAACACAACCATAGCTTATAGGTACACGTCTCAATACACATTTACATGACAGGACTAAAATCATGGGGGCAAAAAATTCGCTTACTTCACTTGTTATGGTAGCCTATTTAATTGTTTTCTTTATTGTATTAGCGGAGGAGTTAAGAGCCTGTGGCAACAAGTACATAAGCATTTTACGGCCATAGATTGTACGAGTGTAGAAGATGTTCCACGCGTGGCTGCTATGGGTAGCGTACGTTTCGTGTAGCGTAAGTGTAATAAACAAGTTCGGCAGTAATGTCATGACAAAATAATCAAATATAGGCTTTTTTGTGAACATCATATGATTCGATTGAAATGATTCTCAAGGGATTTTTGTGCAAGTGATTAGTATAGGACTAGTTTAAATCAGTCATTGTGGTCCATACGAGATATACATATGTAAATGTTTAGGAGAAAAGGAAATTCTATAAAAGCCATTTTATGTGCTTTGGTTGAAAGTAACGGAGGCGTGTTAGTATGCCCACTATTCTCGAAAGTGTAGAGGAAACAACAATGTGTGCGTGGTAGTGCATATTTTGTTCAAAAAGAAACCCAAGGTTTTTATTTGTGGTGCCAGTTCCATTACTTAAAGACCACAGTGCAGGATAATATTTCAAATTATTTGGCCTATTTTAGAGCAAAAAGGGCTGCTTTTTACTTTAAAACATATGTTACCTAAAGAATTCACCTGACTGCAACTTCGCAATATATAGTGAGCACCTAATTTTCGTTTTTCGCAAGCAGATGGAGATGGTAGTGTGTTAAAAATAAGGTTGTGTTGTCTGCATAAATTGCAAATGATGAATTTATGTCTATATTGAAAAATCATTCGCATATAGGCTGAACAGCAGGGGGCCAAGTATGCTTCCCCGAGGAGCACCATTTACTAAAGGTTCAAAGCATGAGTGTGAGTTCTTAATATGCACGGGTGAATTGACTATTGTTTTTAAATACGGTCTATGCATGCACCACAAAAGGAACAATATCCACGCACTTTCCGCGTTCACACTCAGCAGAATTAAATCAATAATGACAGGTCACAAAGAACTTTTGAGAAACTTCCTTTAAATAGTTCAGTTTCTAGAGGGATCGCTCGTTTCCTTTTAACATGAAGTTAGCCTTTTCTGCCTAGTTGTGCACTAGAGGTAAAGTGAAAATTAAATTCTTCATCTACTTCGTACTGACACACGAATTTCGTAGCTCAAAATCATGAATGAGACCTAAAATTTTCCATCTAGCACTTTGTCCGATATGGCGCTTCCTGGTTTTGTTTTTGTTTATCTGCCAATATAACAAAAGGCCATTTGAGGGGTGTACACATACTGATCGTGGTTTAGGCTACGAAGCGCAGGTAAGTGTTCGCGAGTAGGCGCATACTATCCAACCTACCGCATCGAACGCGATCATGCACATAGGCGAGTCGGTGTTATGAGGGGCATCTATTTACAGTGCCTACACACGCCCTTATAATTATTCGAGTAGTAGTGAGACAACATTATTGCAATTCGTATATTGTTACCAAGTGCTTGTACGTTTTTGCATCGCGCTTTCACGGTACCGGGTGGGTAGAATTATATTGCTGCTTGAAGCGGAAATTCTATTGTGTTACCTAAAAACTGGTGGCTCTGTCTGAAGTGATTATTTCAGAAATTGTCCAGACAAGGGCGAGCAATATTGTCACGTAATATAAGAGGGGGAACACACACAATTATTTAATGAGGGCGAACTTGTGCCCAGAAAAGTAGCTATGTCACAACGAAGAGTCTGCTAAAAGCGTTCCACCTACGTGTCCCTTTCTGAACAACAACTCTGTCAGTCTTCCCGGCTCGTGCTCGTCCAGCAGAAGCATGCGCTGCTCTCCGCCAAGATGCTTGAGCACGCGCGAGGCACAATAGACGCTCACATAGTGTCTCGTTGGTTGCGAGGCACTGTAGACGCCTACTTAGCGTCCCGTTGGTCCTCTTCGTAAAATAATTAGTAGGAGCAATCTCTGTGTCGTTACTTCCCCTCCGATATGCGCATCGTCTCGATTCGTGAATTCGGAAGGTTAATAGCCGAGGGGGTAGATGTTTCATTCTCTTTCGTGGTATGGCTTCATGCGGACAACGTGGCCGACCTCCGCATGGTTTTGTCGTTTCGTGCGCTCTTGTCCGTCAGGGATTACTACATAAGTTAGGTCACTTAGCCGACGAAAGACTTTGTATGGACCAAAGTACCGTCGAAGGAGCTTTTCTGACAGTCCGCGGCGTCGTATTGGTGTCCAGTGTAGTAGTCCACATCATTGAACTGTTGTTGACTTATTCGGTGCCTTGCCAACTGGCGTGCTTCTTCAGCTTTCTGCAGAAATCGGTCAATGTCAGATGGCTTGTAGTGGTTATTGTCGACTGGAAGCATGACGTCGAGAGTTGAATTGACTAAGCGACCATAGATAAGCTGAAATGGGGTGACGCGGGTGGTCTCTTGGAGGGCCGTATTATAGGCGAACGTTGCGTAAGGCAGCATTTCATCCCACGTTTTATGCTCCAAGTCCACGTACATCAACAGCATGTCAGAGATCGTGCGATTTTTAGGCTTTCCGTTAACCCATTCGTTTGGGGATGGTACGCAGTGCTTTTCCTATGACTGGTGTTCGTCATTATCATCAAACATTGCATCAACTCTGACGTGAAGGCTGCTCCTTGGTCGGTGATTACCACCTTTGGGGCGCCATGTCGAAGAACTATACTGTGCACAAAAAAATGGCTACTTCAGCTGCCGTTCCTCGCTCAAGGCGGCCGGTTTCAGCATACCGCGTTAAGTAGTCGTTGGCGACTACTATTCACCTCTTGCTCAATGAAGACATTGGGAAGGGTCCAAAAATATCCATTCCAATTTGTTCAAATGGTGTAGCAGGCGGTTCTATGGGCTGGAGCAGGCCGGCCGTCTTCAGTAGTGGTCTTCTGCGCCTTTTACATTTGCGACATGTCTTCACAAATTGCTGCATGGACGCCAGCAGCTTTGGCCAGTAATACTTCTGATGAATTCTGGCAAATGTCCGGCTGACGCCCAAGTGACCAGACGATGGTTCATCATGACAAGCTGCTAGGATTTGGGGTCTCATTGCTAATGGAACGACAAGTAAGAACTTGTCTTTGTTATGCCCGAAGTTCATTTTGTATAGCACATTTTCATGGAGACGGAATAAACATAAAGTTCTCCTAAATACACGTGGGACCTGGCCGACACGCCCTTCGAGGTGTTCGATCAATGGGAGCAGTTCTGCGCCAGCTCATTGATGCTCCACAATATCTGAGGCTTCCATCACACAGAGAAGTGTCGAGTCGTCCTCTTCTGAAGGAGTAGAGTCAAGTGGCGAGCGTGATAAGGAATCGGCATCATTGTGTTTTTGCCCAGACTGGTATACAACAGTAATGTCGTATTCTTGCAGTCGGAGACCCCATCTGGCAAGACGTCCCGTCGGGTCTTTTAAGTTCGCCAGCCAGCAAAGTGAGTGCTGGTCGTTGACGGCACGGAGCGGCCTTCCGTAGAGGTGTGGTCTGAACTTGCTAATAGCAAATATCACTGCAACAAACTCTTTTTCTGTCGCGGAATAGTTTTTTCGGCTTTTGAGAGGGTGCAGCTGGCGTAAGCTGTCACGTTTTCTTCTCCATTTTGCCATTGTACGAGTACTGCGCCGAGACTAATATTGCTCGCGCTTGTATGGAGTTCCGTGTCAGTGGTCTCATCGAAGTGGGTAAGGATCGGCGGGCTTTGCCAACGTTACTTT